ACAGATATACACACATGCATTTGTATGTGAATCAACCTCTTATATTACATATGTAAATATACCTCAGGGTATATATATCAAAATGTAGAAGATTAAATAATAAAACTTTCTAATGACTTCCAAAACCATCTTCATGAACATAGCATGAGCCTGGTTTTCATAAAGAGGATTAAAAAAATATAACCCAACAGAAAAAGTAGCTTTTCATTAAGATACTCCATTGGAAAGAAAATAAAAAGGCAAGACACTAACTGCAATAAGATACTGCAATGCATACACCCAACAGAGCAATAGTATCTAGATTTATTTATTTTAAATCCCTAAAAATCACTAAAAAGAAAAAAAAAACACCACCAAGAACCTAAGTTAAAAAATGGTCAGGACTGAGGGCCGGCGTCTCATGCCTGTCATTCTAGTTATTTGGGAGGCTAAGATCAGTGGGTCATGGTTTAAAGCCAGCCCAAACAAAAAACTCTGTGAGATTTTTATCTCCAATTAACAAGGAAGATGCAGGACTTGAAAGTGTGCCTTAGGTGCTAGAGCAAACACTCCAGGCAAAAGCATGAAGTGGCATGCGCGTGCATGTGCATGTGTGTGCAAGCACACACACACACATACACACGCAAAGTCAAAATAAGATATCCATGGATGAGGAGTGTGACTCAAGTGTTAGACAGCCTGCTTTGCCATGTGAGAATCTGAGTTCAAATCCTAGTTCTGCTCCAAACCAAAAAGCCAAAAATGAACATAACCTCGAATGGCTATCAGACATAGGATGTCACTTTACAATGAATGAATGAGTACAGAAAAAGAAACAGACAATGGTAGCAAGTTCTTGGGTGGTATTTATTTATAGATGCCATGAGTTACTGGGGCTTGCCATTGAGTGATGCTAGCTTAGCTTCCAGCCATTTGCCACAACAACTCTGCGTAGGGACTTTCTCTGATCTCAAAAAAAGGCATCAGAGTATAAGCTCCTAACTAAAGGTTGACTGGCCTTCTGTGTAGATAATGCAACTCCTGGCTGTCATTTGCTCTACACGCTTTCCAGTCCAATGGAGCTGGAGTACCTGTAGTGGTACTTGCTTGGTGACGTTCCTTTCCTGATTCCCAATCCTTGTTATTTTACTTCTTCATTCCTTACAGATATCTTGGAAACCACCTTTCAAATAAACCACGTGCTTTCAAATTTTTTACATAAATTAGTATACACTCATATGTGTAGTATATATATATATATATATTTCAGTAAGAAATGTTTGCTTAAAAAGATTGAAGGTCATTTTTAATTCTGGGGAGGATAACAAAGGTTATTTTTGCTTAGTACTGCTTTTCTGATGCAATATGTCAGGGTGTTTATACTGCACCACTATTATCAAGATAAAAGAGTGAATTTGCCACCCACACAGATGGAAGTTTGGTCATACAATGAAGAATGTACCTAGAAGATTTACCTAGTGAATCACATTTAATTATTATTCCCATTATATTGGTGAAGAATTTGGAAGACAGAGATGTGGAATACCTTTGTTCAAATTGCATAGCAATTTCACAATGAATTAGGATGTGTTAAGACTGGTCAGGTTAAGCCTGACCATTTTGTTGATAAGACTGTGAAAGGTCAGACTGAGAACTAGAAGGTGAAAACAAAACAATCTGCTACCTAATGAGAAAGTTCAAGTGCTGTGATGACAGAAAGTTGCAATGACTGGATATTATAGAAACTCCCATTGACCTCAGGAGGAAGAATATTTAAGAGGGGGAAGGATAGAAGGAAGAAACCACTTAGGAAGTCATTGCAACAATGCAGGGGGGAGGGGGGAGGGCTGCAACCAGGGAATGGGCAACTGAAATGGGCAAAGAGGCAGGATGAGTCCTGAGACTCATCCTGACAAGTCTTAGTACCAAGAAGATGTGGGAAGAAGAGGAAAAGCTCATTTCTTGATTCAAATGTGCTATTTTTTTTAACTAAGGTGGAGCCAGGCACCAGTGGCTCACGCCTGTAATCCTAGCTACTCAGGAGGCTGAGATCTGAGGATCACAGTTCAAAGCCAGCCTGGGCAGGAAAGTCCATGAGACTCTTATCTCCAATAAACCACTCAGAAAACTTTTAGTGACACTGTGGTTCAAGTGGTAGAGCACTAGCCTTGAGCTGAAGAACTGAGATTACAGCACCCAGGCCCAGAGTTCAAGCCCCATGACTGACCAAAAAACAAATAACAGCAAAAGACCCACAAAAAATACTAAGGTGGATTCAAGAATTCACTGTTCTTGGAGTAGGGGTCCCCCTAGTGGTCAAAGAAAACCCAAATTGGGCATCTTCATCCCAACTACCTTGTTAAGGGATTCAGTTGTGCAACTGAACATATTTACGATATCATAGAATAGGGAGCCTTTTTCCCCCTTCGGGTGGAAAGATATCTGAAGGCTGATTGCTGCTAATGGAACAGAACTGGGGCCTCTCAACAGGCTTCTACTCAAACAAGATAACTGCTAGCTGGCTACCCTCTTTCTCCAAGTGACACCATGTTGCCTGGGAAGGCTGGCTGTTATCGGTGGCACTAAATCCAATCAACACTGAGGAAATCTCTTTGACAATAGTGATCTTATTTCTTAAGAGGATGGGAGAGGAGGGCGTAGAAACTTTCAAGGTTCACAGGAATTTGAATGCTGACTCTGCCACAGACGTACAAGTATGAATTTCTTTTTAGATAAACTATACATACTAGTATGTAGAAGGTTATGAGGTTTTAGGTGATCTCCGTAAGGCTTACTGACAGTTGGAGGTAGAACATATAATTACCCTCAGAGCTTAGGAGATGGCATTTTACATTGACTTATAAATATGGTAATGAGGCATGCTAATAATGAATATGCTCATTAAAGAGGGGATGCAAAGCAAGCTCAAAAGATTACATAATTCCCCCAGGGTAAAATAGTGCATCTAACTAGAAAAGGTAACACCCTTCTGTCTCTATTTTCTCTCATTAGATCTTTGAGCCTACTCTTGGAAGAAATGAGGACATTTTCTAAAAGTTATGTTGAGTAGGCTTGAGTCACCAACCAAAATGAGATATTCAGAGACTTTTCATCTTAAGCTTTTGGTATCTTCCTGATTGAGTACAAATACCTATTTGCTACGTAAATACATACTGACCGTAACCTTTTGTTAATTACTTAACAAAAGTGCTTCAGTACTGTAAAGCCAAACCAGTAGCTACCAAAGTAGTGTGTGGAAAGCCACCACTCAGTTGCTTCTAGTGATTTCCTTTCATGAATCCCTTTGGCTCCTGCAAAGGTTGAAAGTGTTAAAACTCATAAGAAGCACAGAATGTTGTGAGTTTTCTTTCTCTCCAGGAGTCTGTTTGTATGTGTTATTAGTTGGTTTTATCCATCCATAAGCTTCTGTAAACTCCCTGATTTTAAAAAGCCATATTTTCTTGTTTAATTGCCTGTTATGAAGTGATCTGTCTTTCATGCTATAAATGTACTGTAATGAGAAATGTTCTGCTCATTACAGACCATCAGCATATGAAGCAATGTCAAACCAGTTGCTTCACTGAGTAGCATCTTAAAGGTCAGAAAAAGGTGAGAAGAGAAAACCAACTTTACTGAATATAGACCATCTTGTACCGAATGAGGAAAGAGTTTGGCAAGAACAATCCAGTATGTAACATATGGAAAACAGTGGCATTATTTTCCCATTGCAATGATTTTCTTCGCTCACATCTGACACCATCTTCTTATTAATCCTTTGGATTTTTCAATTGTATTGTGCTTTTTCTGGACATGCAGGAAGGGAAAAAAATCTGTCAGGCCCTGGAGAAGTGCTGAGGGTAGTGTGACGAATGCACTGTATAAACAGGTTAGACTTTGGGCAAAGTACAATTTTAGATGTTCTCCTCTGAGAGGTAGAAACCTGGACTTATAACCATGGCCCACACTTCCTCCTTTTTGAATCCCCACAGCTTCCTCCCTCCCGTTTCTGTAATTTCAGAGGACATTGATCTGGTCTTGGCCACAGGATACCCAAGCTCATGATTCACACAGCAGGTCCATTTTCCTGATATGCTGAGGGAAAGCTATCAATGACATAATCCCTGTGTCAGCGCAGGGAAAGGCAAGTAGAAGCCTTTCTGCCTATAGCTGGGGAAGCTCCTGTCCTTGAGGGACAGGATGGAGCATATTGAATACTTGCTAATGGGCAGCCAGGCCCTGCCTTGAAAAGCAAAGAAGCCGAAGAAAGAGCAAAGAATCGAAAAACATTCTCTCAAAGTATTTGAAAATGTTATCCGCAGGAGCTTAATGCACATGCAACTGTTTAATTGCTCTCTGCTTCATTCACTCAATAAAGTATGGGTTTCTTTTTCTATAGTTTTACAACTATTTTTCTGTCATGAAGCACTAACTTTATAGCTCTTCAAATAACTTCTTCTTTGATACTCTTGGACAGGTTTTTGGCAAAATTACAAATGGGAAATTCTCTGCAAGAATTATAGCTACATGAACAGATACATGTTTGTGTTACTGTAATTGTCTTTACATTGTCTTGCTTGCTTTCAGGCAAGGGAGCGGCTCTTGCCTGAAGGATATATAATAAAAGAAGTGTTCATCTCTGTATGTGTATGTGTTGTTGATTAGGGTTCTTAAAAATTATGCATGTGTGTTTGCTAACTGGACATATAGTTCCTCCTTTTGCAAGTTGGTTGTGCTACGCTTACAGCTGTCCATCTTTAGTGTGTTACTCCAGCTCATCTTTTGATCATAGCTGATAGGGATGAATGGATGTGCACCTAATAAGTAAAGTCAAAACCATGCTCTTTTCAACAGCCTATATCTTTCTCTTTTTCCATGGTCTCCAAATGTGTGAGTAAAATGTGCAACCATCCATCCAGGTGTGTTACCTTTGAATCAACACAGCATGCTTTGAAGGAGCTTTTTCAATGAACCTGTCTGAAGTCACGGCAGTATGAGAATGACCATCAGGAACCAACGCTTACCTTCCTGTACCCCCAGAGCTGGTTTCCTTTCATGCCATGACAGTCATAGAGAGTCACCGGGCTGTTGTGGGAGATGGCATCAAAGCAGAATTTTCGGGTGTGTAGTGGCTCACCAGGCCGAATATCTTCTCTCCATCCAAAGGTAAAGAGCTAGCAAAACAACAGTAGCAGAAAAGCTGTGACGAGCTCAGTTCGGAAAGAATATCCCAGAGAAGAGGGGAAAGGTATGTCTTTGAGAAAGAAAGATCTCTTGCTACATGATTTGCAAGAGAGAACCATGTCTCATCATAATAGGGGTGGAAAAAGCATGTTTCATAAAGTGATGTAGTAGTAAGGGCTACATTTAAGGCCAAATTCTGCTAAAAATACAAACAAGGCTGGGCAGTGGTGGCGCATGCCTGAAATCCTACTACTCAGGAGGCTGAGTCTAAGGGTTGCAGTTTGAAGCCAGTTTGGGAGGAAAATGTCTGTGAGACTTGTATCCCCAATTAACCAGTGAAAAGTTGGAAGTGCAGCAAAAAGCTAGAAGTGGAGCTGTGGTTTATGTGGTAGAGCACTAGCCTTGAGCAAAAGACCCCAGGGACAGTACCCAGGCCCCAAGTTCAAGCCTCATTACTGGCACAAAATAAAATGCAAGCAAGGAGAAATGTTCAGTTAGAGAGAAGTAGGGGGAGAGAATATTGAGATTGAAGATCAGAATAAGGAAGAGGAGACAGGAAGGAGAGATAAGAGAGAGGAAAGGGAGAAGGGAGGGAAAAAGGGAAAAAATCTTTAATGACATTTTTTATATTCATCCTGTAGATAAAATAGTACCAGATCAAATGCTAACAGTAAATGAACCCATGAATTGCTAATTCACTACACAGGGTTGAGCTGGATTGAAACATGTAATTTATAAGGAAAGCTAAACTTGAGGAAGTAAATAATAGGCAAATTAATATTCTAGAGTTGGTAAGAGTAATTCTGCAGGCAATGGAGAAAAATCTTAGCAACAGTGTTAGTGTAGTTAAACACACACACAGCCACACACAAACACAGACCCACACACATCTCTGGTGATCAAACGGAAGTTTCATGGAATAATATTTATTATCGTATTTGATACTCTGTTATTCTACTCATCCTTTTCCCATCCGAGTCTATTCTAGACATCCCATTGTATTATATTAAAATGCAGTAAGTTGAGTTTTATAGTGTATCAAATTCAAAGAATTCACTTCTGTAGAAGAAGAGCATTTCGCCTGAGTTTGCCCAGGTGAACCCCACTGATGGGATTACAACAGGAGAAATCCTTTAGTAAAGGGAAAGCGGCCTGGGCAAGCCCTCTGATTTCTTCCAATTAGAACATCTCCGTCAGGTTATAGTATTCATGCAGCAGGACACAAGGCAGGCTGCTCTTTGAAGCCTAGCTGTGAACTGCACCCTGCAGAGAACACCTGATGTTACATAAACAAGCCTGACCACTGAGCAGGCTCTGGGTCTATTTCAGTTTTCAGTCCCTATTCAGGAAAGAAAATGGAGAAAAATGTAGGACATTCCAAGGACAGCTAACAAAACCGCTTAAGTGGTGAGGATTGTGAAGAAAAAAAAATTGTAGGACTGGGTGAAGTGGTCTGAGGGAAAGAAAGAAATAATTGAAATCCAACCTACGCAAGAGGATTGTCTGGGTAACTGGATGGAAGGTGGACAAGAGGTTTTTAGGTCAGGGGCTTGAGGTAGATTTGTGAAGAGAATTGTGTTTATCTTTCCCCAATTTAAAAAAAATAGGATTGTGGATGGAGACATATTTAGATTCGCTTAAATCTTGTGCAGGAGGATGACGTCTGATGAGAACATGCTAATTCTCTGGCTTTTGAACTATTGCCATTCTCTCTTATCCTACACTCTGTTTCCCTCAACTTACTTTTGAATCCATCTGTTCAACATCTGGGGGTTGCCCAGAGTTCTCCCTCTTCTCTAGCTGGCCTTAACTTTTCCAAGTTCACCTCTCACTAATACACTGCTAACTCACTCTCTAGGTTCTTTCTGTCCAACAGAACGTCCTATGGACAGCTCATTTCCAACATTGTGAAGCCAACATTTTCTTTCCCTCTCGCCTGTCCCTGCTCTTTTATTTCATTTTGGTCGGTGGTGATATCATTCAGTTTGTTAACTGGGGAGTCTTGAACTCTGTCTCTCTTAACTTCTTCATCTATCTAACCAATTGTCAAGTCTTGCCACTTTTGTCTTATAAATGTTTCTGGAATCTGTCTAGTTCTCTCTATCCCTGTAACCACTGCCCTCAATATCTCTTGTCTAGACAATTGCATTGACCTCCTCACTGATTTCTTTCCCATCTTCCTTCTTTTCGTTCCCACACATCTGTCTTTCTCAGCCTCTAGAGCAGTCTGTTTGAAATGTCTGTTTAACTGTGTCTTCCCTCTATTGCAAATCTCACAACCGTTTTCACATAACCCTTAGAGAATAAAGTTCAAATTCTTTATCACAGGAAGAACTTTCTGCTGTCTGGCCTTTGCTGCTTTTCCCAGCTGTATCCTTTTCCTTTTCTTTGATATTCCAGCAACACTAAGATGTTTCTTTTACAAAGCAGACTTTGTATCCTTCTCTGTGATTTTATTGGTCAGATTGTCTGTTGGGAAGATCAACATTTAGCAGGCAGTCTAATCAATGCTCAACAACTCCTTAAGGTTCAGTGCACATGTCTATTCATCTTTGTTTTCTGTTTGTTTGCTTTTGTAGGTCCTGGGGCTTGAACTCCTAGCTGGGGAACAGTTGCTGAGCCCCTTTGTGCTCAAGGCTAGTGTTCTACCACTTGAGCCACATGCCACTTTTGGCTTTTTCTAAGTAGCTTATTGGAGATAAGAGCCCATGGACTTTTCTGCCTGGGTTGGCTTGAACTTCGATCCTCAGATCTCAGCCTTCCAAGAAGCGAAGATTACAGGCATCAGCCACTGGCAAGCAGCTATCCATTCATCTTTGAACTGCTTCCTCTTCCTTCTCTCTTCCTCATTTATTTCATCATGATTTATCAAGATTGTCCATGTTTCTGTATCTATCTAGACAATAAGACCTTAAGACCTTTTTTTGTGTATGTATGTGCTGGTTCTGGGACTTGAACTCATGGCCTGGGTGCTGCCCCATTAATTTTTCTTACTCAAGGGTGGTACTCTCCTGATCAAGACACATCTTTACTTCTGGCTGTTTAGTGTTTGATTAGAAATAAGTGGCTCAAGGACTTTCCTGCCAGAGATGGCTTTGAAGTGAGATCTTTAGATTTGAGCCTCTGGAGTAGGTGTAAACTTGTAATCAGATCTTTTTTTTTTAGTGTGCATCTCCAGCATCCAAGATAATTCATAACATGTCAATACAGGTAAGTGTCCAATACATTTGTTTCAAATAAATGCAACTTACACTAATCTTAACAGAAAGTATGCTGAGTTTTTTTTAAGTACTCAGAAAGTGCTTCTTCTAAATGGTACTGACACCTTACTTGTGCCCACAAGTTAATTAAAAGCAGGGTAAAAATCTGACATCCTGGTCTTCAGGTTTGCCTCTGTCTCCTTTGTTGTAAGTCTTTCCTACAGTCACCTTGGATACCAGGAAGGCCAGGCCTGATGTATTATTTCTTTATAACAAAGGACTTAGAATACTTCAGATAGACAGATAGAGTGCCTGACAGACAGGCACTCGGATGATGAGGTCACTATCTGTGATGAGGATTGGAACCCTGGAGCAATAGGAACCTTCTCACCCAGACTAGATTACTCCCAAGGGAGGGAGGTGATAACCAGCACTGAGATACTGATCAACTAAGCCACGCTTTGTCCTGCTTAATTATGTATGCCTTTTACTCCTTGCTCTGTGGTGTAGCACCCAGTATGCCTCACGGTAGAATAAACACCGCCAGAGTGTGCGCTACCCTTTCCTATAAGCTTGTACCTGGTCTAGAAAGCATGCCTATTCTTTTTACTCTTCTAGCTGAGTAAATCTATCTCGGCTTGCCTTGTATCTCTGCCTAAGTTCCATATTCCATGTGCACTGACAAGAACCTAAAGGGCTAACGTGAGGACTGCTCTTTCTCCTCTTTCTCCTTCTCTTTCTCCTCTTCTTCCTCCTCCGTCTTTTTTCCTCGTCCTCGTCCTCCTCTTCCTCCTCCTCCCCCCCCCGTTCTCCTCTCCCTCCTTTTTCTTTCTCTTGGTCTCTCTCTGTCTCTGTATCTGTGTCTTTCTCCCTGTTTCTCTCTCTGTTTTTCTTTCTCTCTGTTTCTCTCTGTTTCTGTCTGTTTCTCTCTCTGTTTCTCTCTGTCTCTCTGTCTCTGTCTCTGTCTCTCTCTCTGTCTCTGTCTGTCTCTGTCTCTCTCTCTCTTTCTCTCTCTCCCTCTTTCCTCTGGGCTCATAATCAGGGCTTGAATCCATGGCCTTGAGCTTTTGCTTAGCTTCTCCAGTCACAGTTGCTACTCTACAAGTTGAGCCACACTTCTACTCTAGAGTTTTTTTCTGATTAATTAGATATAAAAGTCTCTCAGAATTTTCTGTCTAGAGCTGGCTTCAAATTGTGATCCTCACATCTCAGCCTCTGAAGTATCTAAGATTACCCTGATTGTTAGCCCTTATGTGTCTGACTCCCTTTTTTCTTCTTTTTGGGTAACTTCTTGGAGACTTTTGTCCATTACTGGTGACAAGAGAACTATTCCAGATAAATGAATTCCTTTTTTTTTTTTTTTAATAGGGTGTTGTTATGGTAGCCTAGACTGACCTTGAATTTACTTCGAACATAGGCCGGCTTTGAACTCTAAATCCTCCTGTTTCAGCCTCTTGAGTGCTGAGTTAACAGGTGTATATCACGATGCCTGGCTTAGAACGATTTACTTGATTTATCCATTCTGCTTTCTATTTATATATCTCTCTCATTTTAGTTTTAACTCAAAATTTTAGTTTTTCTCTGAAAGCCAGAGTAGAAAAGGAATGCAATCACCAATGAGCACAGATTGTTATTATATAGTTAGGGAAAATCAGGCTGCCAGAGGTAAATGGCTTGCCTCTGTCACATTTCAAGTGAGTAGATTTCCCTTACAATTTTCTCATACTTTTTATTGAATGAGTCAGTTAAGACCAAAAGCATACTTGTGTTATAGTAAATCCAAATACATCTTCATCTGTTGTCGGAAGTATATCTCAGGGCATTCTTATATGTCTTTTGTTTATTTCTAGATTTGTTACTATAATTTAATAATCATTCTTACATGTGTAGACCGTTAGAATGAAATTTTCATAGAGGTTTCATGAATTGTTTTCATCATCATCATCATCTTCTTCATCATCATCATCATTATCATCATTACCTAGTGATTACATTGCTACATCCCAGGAGATGTTATATTTTCATATTTGACTAATTGATTTTTTCATTCTTTGGCACTTAAATATCAACTAAACTTTTTCCTCTCATGTCTTTGAAGTACTTTTTTAAAAAAATAGTCATTTGGGCTGGGAAGGTGGCTCAGTGATAGAGCGCTTGCCTTGCATGCATGAGGCCTTGGGTTCAATTCCTCAGCACCACATACTCAGAAAAAGCTGGAAGTGGTGCTGTGGCTCAATAGGTAGAGTGCTAGCCTTGAGCTGAAGAAAAAAGTCATTTATTGTCTACTAATGGTCATTGCCAAACCAACTAGGCACTGGGTCTCTCATTCAATAGGCATGTTTTCCTGTGTGCAATTTTGTCAAAGCAGAAAGAAGCAGATATTCTGAAGCCATGTTCATCCTTTGTCTGGGGTAATGTTTCTGTGACATGAAGAGCTTCTCTCCCATCATTGGGTGGTGCTTATTGACAAAAGTATCTGATTTCTTTTTTCTTCTTCTTATAAAAAACCTCTGCTTTGTTTTTCAAACTTGAATGGTCAGTTCGATGTAAATTGATGTTAGTTTCTCCCTCTTCTTCTGTGAGTGATGCTTTTAAACATACTTTCAAAGTAATAACTCATTTCTTTGCTTTACTATTCCAGTGATGTCTGTGCCATTGCCTGTATAGCACTAGGTTCATGGCTGCAGATACAATTATTACTGATGTAACAATTGAAAAGATTTTATTTTCTCCCCATGGATGCTTATATTTTCTTTCGTTTTTAAGGTGATTTGCAGAAATCTGAGATACACCCATTTCAGCTATGTACCCATCCTTACCCTTGGTCCTTCTGGTGAGATTGCTTTTTCCAAAGGAAAGGGATTTCACTGCTGGCATTAACTTGCTCTCATCTCTGTTTGAATATTTCCCCTCCAGGTCTTTGCTTCCTCTGCAGGAGGAAAGGCCTGCTGCAGTGTTTCCTCCCCAGCATGAGCTCAGAGGCTGTGGCTGGGGCCTGAAGAGACAGAACAACCAAAGCAGGCCAAGGGGAGAGCCCGCCTCCTCTCTTCCCTCCTCCTTGAACTCATAATGGGAGCTGGCATGCGTACTTTCTAGACCTTACCGTCCTCTTAGGATCTATTTTTATTTTTCTTTCTTGGTCCTTAAAGGAAATGGAGAGCCAGAATACAATGCTACGGTGCTAGCTAGCAGCTAAATTGATTGCCCTGGAAGAATGAATCATACATCTGCTTTCTTCACAGAAATCACATGAGTCATGACTTGTGGTCTGCCACAAAAGGCATTTCCTTATAAAGATACTGCAGGGGACTCTTTGATTTCTGTGTAACAGTTTTGTTCAGTTCTATCTTTTTTTTTTTTTTTTCATTTCTGGGGGGGAAAATAGGAGATAATGTCAAGTTTAATAAGAATCCCCTTGGTATGAAGGCTTTGCACTAAAGAGCACTCACAGGTTTTAATAGGTTGATATACTTTTTGTCTCCAAATTTTAATCTAAGTGTAGAGGAATGAATTATAACACTTGTAAAATCATTAACTAATGCATTGAATAAAGCTTAGAGTTGGGAAATGAATCACCTTGTAGTATTTTAACCTCCATCAATATATGGTGATAGATAGTTCAGTTGGTATTCATTTTTTTCCTCCTGTCAACCGTTAATCTCCCGCTGACTCCATTTTTTATGCCATCTAGAGAATTGATAGCTCCTTTTTCACCAACTATATTAACTTTTGTTCTGCCCACATAGATTTTTCTGCTTGTCTAGTGCTGCTCTCTAGTGCCCATTTGTGAAATTACATGCCATAGGGTTTTTTTTTTTTTTTAAGTTTAGTCTGGGGGTTGTGGGTAGGGGTGGGGAATGAATCAACATTTTCAGAGTGTATACAACATGATTAGGTCTGTTTGTATGAATTTTTGTCTGTCAAACAAAATTTTGCAAGCCAGAGCAAATTTCATTCTGGAGTGTTACCCAATAGAAATATTAAGCCTGATTCAGGCATTCATCTTTCAACAAAGCAGGTGTGTTTCCTGGTTGGGCTGAATAGAAGTAGTAGAAATGAGTTTAGCCCAAGCAACATGTAGCTTGCCTCTTATTGTCTTTTGAGAAATATCCTTTCCTGCTCTAGATGCCAGCCTTGCTGATCACTCCTTGAGCATTCTGTCTTGTTGCCAGGCTGAGGTCAAGAATTGCTCGTTGCAGGTAACAGCCAACACGATTCCTCCATTCCCTGGCAACATCCACCTTGCTTATGGATGGAAGAAGGAGGAAGTAAATGAATCTACCCTGAGACTTGAGTCTTATCAGTAAATCATAGAGCCCCGAACCTTCTTTAAAGTCCATCTGGTAAGTGTCTGTACAGGATAGATTGCCATAGTTGATCATGAGCATTTGGTGTCTAATTTGGGAATGGACATATGGATAGCTATCTTGGACATGAAAGAGATTTCAAGTTCAGCATCAACATAAAGTGACTTCCTACGATTATGAGAAAGCAGAAAGTATGGCGGGGGGGGGCGGCTCTGTGCCTACTTCATGTGTAAGAAGCTGTAATAGTTATAATTCCTTCTAACACAGCCTTTTCTGGAGATGAGTATACTTGCCCCTGTTTAAAGATGGAGGAACTATGGCCTAGAGAGATTGAACATGTTCACAAAGCCACATAGTTGAAATGAAAATATTAGTTGGCCTGATAACTCGACTTGTGCTCTGTACCCTAGAGTATCCTGTGGATGCTGATGAGTACTTCCATGAGGACCAGCGTTGACTGACTGAATTCTAGACACTGTGGTGGACTTGGTGCGTGGCTGTTTCACTAGCACTGTGCTGCTTTGCCTGTAAAGCAGGGTCTGGGTGGGAGCAGGAAGGCACCGAGGGGGAGGCGAGGGAGGAGGGAAGGAGGTGAGGGGGTGCCAGATGCTGAATCTCTTTAATCTCCTTAATATCTTAGACATGGTAATTAGCCAACTGACAGTTTTTGTCAATGTCCTATTGTATGGATGGTTACATCTGAGCTAGGCCTCTTCCCCATCTCAGACAAGACATAGACACTTGAGGAATACAGATAGAGTAATACAGAAACGTTATGTTTTTGCATTTTAGACAAGAGACACATGGAAACTGGAAGCACTGGCCGGACACGCTGTCTTGGTCTTGTGGTGTAGGCGTGTGTGGAGAGAGAAAGAGAGATGGGATGGGAAGAGCCTCTCCCCGTATAGTTTTTCCCATTAAGTAGGGGGCCAGTCACCAATGATCGTTGTCAAATCTGTGTCATGGGTGAGAAAACATCTCGTAGAATGTCTCCTAGAGTTTCCAATTCAAATTTTTCATACTTTAAAATTAAAGCACTGGAAAGGAACAGATGTAATTCTGCTCACTATTTTTTTTTCCTCTTGCACAAATGACACAATATAAGGAGAGCCCCTGGTAAGAACATTCCAAGTTTCAGATCAGGTTAGAACTGGCTTTCAATCAAAAGTAATGCACAGGCTTCATGTATCTTGGTAAGTCCACGCTGGGGTGTCTTCATCTCAGAAATCCTTCATGCAGAAGATTAAAAAAACTACTACTATAGCAAGAGGTTCATGCAAAATATTCTTTTCAATATACAGCTAGAAAGGAAAAATAAGATTAGATGAAACCACACACACACACACACACACACACACACACACACACACACACACACACAGAGTGTCTTTCATTAAAATCATGACCTTTTGTTGGAAGCTTGCCAGCATTCTATGTTTTACAAAGTACCATCTTGGGAAATGCAATAAGATCATAGAGAACAATTTTACCATCCTTTCTATAGTGTACTGCATATTTGTATCCATGATCTCAATTGATGACCGAGACTTGAGAACAAACAGAAACACTTACCTCCAGAGTTAGTTGGCAACAGAACCATGACTTCATTTCAGGTCTCGCATGCACCAGCTGGGCACTTGATCCCCACCTCTATGCTCATCACATCCCCCCCCCCCCCGCATGCTGCCTTACATACCTGCTCATGAGACCATGTCCTTTCCGAGCCGTCTTTAACACAGATGTCCAGCCTCAGCTCAGTGCCCGTGGCTCCGTGCTTGCTGTCCACACACAGATTTGCTGCCACATTTCTAATCTGTGGAAAGAATTAAAGGGTGACACTGGTCAAGATGGATTATACTCATAAACTGACATGTTGATTTGAAGCTCCTTTGAACAACTACTTAAAGATAATAAATACAACATAGCAAAAAAACAAAAGAAGCAAGAAAGTGGAGTTCAGGGCCGTTGTATGATTAGTTCTGGACAATCTTGGTAGAGATCAGTGAATAAACTATTGTTTTGATTATTTAACTAGAGTGATACCTTGGATTTGAATTCAACTTCTGGAGAAAAAGCAGTAGGTTAGGCACAATTACATAATATCTTCTACATGTGAAAGAATGTGACACAATCCCACAGCACAAATACAGCTGTTTGCAGGAGAGGACTATGTTGATATTACAAAATAGGGAGCAGTGTAGTTGTGGAGATGGGAGGGCAGGGATGGTAGGGGAAAAACAAAGGAGGAGGCAACAATGGTTGATAAGAAAGGTACTTTTTACCTTGCTCATGTAACTGTAACCCCTCTGGACAGTATCCTCACAATAAAAAACATTAAAAAAAATAGGGAGCAGTTAGAACTCTCGATCTCTCTGTATAGTAGTAGGAGACTTTTTTGTCCCCAGATTAAGTACTTAACCTGGAATTTTGTTATCGTCTTGCATCAAGTACCTTCTACCGTTGTTATCCTCGTGGGAAGTGAGGCCAAATCCAGGGCAAATGATATAGGTAAAGAATATGATGGAGGTGGATGAGTCACTTAACCCTGCTGAGCTTGGGCAAGGTACGGTGACCTTATGTTCCAGTTTGGCTGCAACAGTATTGATTTAAGCCTGTTCTCATAGTTTAGCATTTCTCATGGATGATAAATTAGATGTGACTGTAAGGGATTGTCAAAAAGTTGAAATACTTTGGATAAACACTCAGTACATTTCTATAGAGCACTTAGAATAGTGGGACAAACAAAGGCAATCCTTTCCAAGGATTATATTAGCATTAGGGCAGACAGTGAAAAGTATTAAGAACAGAAGCAGCAACAGAAATAACAGTTGGGACAGAAAATGAGTCTTTTGTTACATATTTGTGCCTGGAAATTCCATCAGTCTACTTGTTGGTGTCATCATTGCAGCCTGCAGCAGAGTTGGATATTGGTTTTGGTTTGTCTAGTAGGTATGAAGGCTAGAAAAGCTCCATTATCTTAATCATTTTTATGCCTTTATATAGTCTTTGATTATGAAAATCTCTTTAGGTATGTTTAAGAGTGGAAACAGAGTAGGATGAACCCAACTGATAGTTTTCAGGAAGTTTCTTTTCCTGATGAGTAGGTAGGTAGGGAGTCTCTCAACAAAGCAGAATGCTTCAACTGGGCTTATTGGAACAGGGCAGTGAAGCAGATAGATCTGTTGTGAAAAACACTGGGTATCACAAAAGGAATAATGAATTCTGGGTTGGGAATGGTTTGGTGGAGGGAACTATTTCATATTTCATTTACTGTAGGAGTAGAGGTTATTATTATTATCTGGGGGTGGGGGTGGGGGAAGTCAATGTGGTGGGAACCAGTTTCCTTATTCAGGAAATTTGCCAACAGATTAGGATCATAGTCCTCTGTGGGACCTCTAGTTTCAGGGTCTTTTCTCTGATGTTAGGGGAATGTGAAGTAATGCAGAATTCAGAGATTTCTAAGGAACCGTATGGATATTTTGGCAAAAACAAACTGACCAACAAAACAACCAACCAGTCACCCATTCAACCAACCAACCAACCAATCAAGCTGTAAGTAGATATGAGCCTGCCATATTTATTTTCCTTGCAAGCCTATTGTATTGTTCCTCTTATTATCATGGATGATCCAAAAAGATAGGGAACTGAAGTTGGCGGATCATTAAAATGCACCTGACTTACCGTCACTTAAAAGAAAACCTAAAAACAAAACAAAACAAAACAACAACAACAAAAACCCTGTCTCTCCATCTTTCCTAAAGTAAGTACCAGAGAGGCATTTTTCTTTGGGATTTTAGGATCCAAACTTACTATTCTCTGTGGGGCTAAGGAGGAGCTCAGGAGTTGAGCATTTATTTAGCATGTTGGAGATTCAATTCCACCACTGTGGGGGGAAAAAAACCTTCTGTAAAATCAATTTCTTGTTTCGCTAGTGAAATAGAAACACCTAGGAGGGCGAAGTTAGATTTTGGAATCTCTCTCTCTCTCTCTCTCTCTCTCTCTCTCTAGTTCTTTCTCTGGCAGGGAAGGGACCTCGTGCGGGAGAGCAGGGTTGCACTTCGTACCTCATACTGTTCTCAAGCTCTTAATTCTCCTACCTCAAACTCCAGGGATTAAAAGTCTGCTCCACAGTGCCTGGCAGACTACTGCTATCTTGAGCCTGGCACACTCTGTAAAGCTCCTCTTTCATCTCCTTATCTGAGTCCACTGTGTGGGTTTCTTTAAAAAAAATAAAAAAAAGCTGTCTGTAAGCAGAAAACTGCCTGACAGAACACTAGGCAGGCGTCTCTTTTCATTCCTGAGCCTTTTAACTCACAGCTACCTTTCCTTAGAGATCAGTTATCAATTTTATATACTGAAGTCCTCTTCAGGATACTGTCATTTCCATCACTCGAGTCTAGGACCTCTGAACCCCACATGGGGATGGGGTGAGGGAAAGAGGAAGCAGCTACTGGTGGGTTCCTGGCTGTTTGGCCACAGAGGGTGACTTTGGTCCTAGGTACGGCTGGCTGGTATGCAAGCTCAGCCACTAGAGGGACCCTGCTCTTGGAAGAAAAGAGATGGACAAGCAAACAACAGGAGATGGCAACTCTGCCAGCCCTGCCCCTGAACACACACACAGCAGGTCTGCCGCCGAGCCTCATTCAGTTTTCAAATGTGATGAGCTAGAAAGGTCTCTGGCAGGGATGGAAGATACTACTTTCCAAACTCTTGAATTTTCTAAATTCTCCCTCAAATGGCATCTGTGTAGACAATGGGATAAACTACTTTGGAAATCAAATTTCAAATTTCAAAGCCATAATTGTCTACATCTGTGTAAATTCCAGCACAAAGAGTTGTGCCCGAGAGGGAAGGCTGGCAGTCTAGCACAGGATGAGATGGGCAGCTGGAGACGTGACTCGCGTCTGGCCATGTTCCTTTGCTTCTCTCCCTGCCATCTCTCCAGCTCCTGTTTGGAGCCTCTCCAAAGCAAGTTGTTGCTCAGAAGTACAACTCTATACCAATTAGTAGGTGAATAAAATCCCAACACAACTGATCTGACCACTTGCTTCTTCATGTGACCAAAGTTAAAAAAAATGAAGGAACAGTATGTACAAATGTTTTATGGTTTTTTTTTTTCAACATAGATAACAAGAAAGCAATTCACACACGGACACATGCGTGCCTCCAACCTAGGGCATGGAAGATGGAATAAATCTATGACAGAAGAGAGAATTTTCAGGCATTTGCCATTTTATTATCCAGTTTCAGAGATTTAAATTATTAACACTGTGTCAAGGACTCCTGCAGGATGCTGAACAGGATTAGAAAGTGAGGTGGGGCTTGAAGAGGAGGGTGGGAAGAAAGGAGTAAAGAAGGAAAAAAGGGACTCATTATGTATGACAGGATTATGGAGATAAACTCCTTGTAGACAAGGATTAGAAGAGGTCTTGCAGAGAGTAAAGGCTTTCTTTAGGTATGTAAGAGGAGGCAGGCTCAAGTTCAGCAGGGTTGTATTTCTCTTACCCAGGAAGCTTTTAGAAAAAAGGTGAGATAGGAGAATCATGCAAATTGAAAGGCGATCAGCAAATGGAGGATAGGTAAAACAGTTCTTTTTGGTATGTGTTATGTGTGTGTATGTGCGGTGTGTGTGTGTGTGTGTGTGTGTGTGTGTGTGTAACTCAGCTGGCTTTAAGTGATAACCTGGCTCAACAAAATGAGAGCCATAGTTTGTTAATTCGTTTAGGTAGATGTCAGGTCTTTTAAGTGGAGTAGTGGCTTTATTATTCATTCAATAAATATTTATTAAGTACTAACACTGTATTTGATACAGGGGACAAGAGAATAAGAGGACCAGTCTCTCTATGTAGCTTAAGGTCTAGTCAGCACATTAGAAAAGTGCCTTGTATTTTCCAATGTTTCTGTCTGTGAATTTAAGATATGGCAAAAAGGGATCAAGATGCTCCTCTTCATGGCATGTGGGTGATTTTAGGAGTCAAATTTAGATGCAGAGTTAAAATGACAGCAGCCACTAGGGTAGGGTGGAGAGAGAATTGAGTGGAGACATGGCAGGCTGGTTCTGTGGAGGAGATATTCACTTAGAGTGCCTTAGATACAGGCACTTCTCAATGCTCTGTTTTTCCATTTATGAAAAGTTCACCTTCAAGGCCAAGGAAAGGCATTTTTTGGAGAATAGATGGAAATTCAAAGACTCAGAAAAAAATGGTTGATGCTTTTTAGAGGCCCTCAATGTCAGTGGCCAATCATTACTCTGAGGACATCTTCTTAGGGTACAGCAGTGAATCAAAGATTGGAGGGGAAATCATCCATTCTGAGCAAGATGGCGTTGAACACTAGGTAGAAATGAAGACATGGGAAGCGGCTCTGGAGGATGAGTAGAATTACCAGGGTTATTCTTGTCTCTTGATTACATTCCACACCTGAATAATCTATATAATCATGGAAGTATGTGATTTCACTCAAGAGAAGACATTGAAGCATGACCAGAAGACTGAAGGAACTCTAGGAAATGCCTCCTTTTAGAAGTGTGCAAAGAACAAGAAAGGAAAAGCAAAAGGAGGATCAGAAATCAGGCAAAGGATTTCCAGGAGTTAGGAGAGGGGTTAATACTATCAAATTCCATACAGGAGGAGGGGAAGAGGCATTCGGCTCTGACAGGCAGGAAGACAGCAGCGACCTTTTGAAGAAGTTTCTGAGGTGGCTGAATGAAGAAAGAAGACAGATTGCCAAGTGGACCGAGGAAACAGGATGCAACAAGAATCACCCCGAAAAGCTGCTCTTTCCAGAAGCTTAACAGTGATCAGCAAGTGATAT